GATGCGTTTTATTTGGTCTGTCGCTGGTGATTTTTCGAAACGAGTGTCCCAGTGTCGGTTCGAATCACCGTGTCTTAGTTTTCGCAGAAACTCCTACGATATGACCTAATCGAAGTAAATGAATACTTTGGTCACCGTCGAGGACATCGCAACTCAACTTCCTAATTAAATCAGAATTAAAAATTTTGAACAATTACTTGGGTACCTTCCCACCAAAGCATCACTGGCAACGAAAAAGCAGACTCTCGTTGCAAGAGAAGCGACAACCATGACTCCAAATAATGAAATAGAAATCCCTTACCAAGACTCGATTACGAGAATACAACACTCATCGAAAGAAGAATGGAATAAAATATGGAACAACAAAAGAGCAAAAACTCGCAATATAACGCACGACTTTTACCAAACAGTATCCCAACGCTCCATGACCAGGAGAGAAGAAATAATAATGACTAGATTGAGAACTGGACATTCAAAAATCACACGTGAATACATATTAAAGAAAACGGACCCTCCCCACTGCGACTCCTGCAATAGGGAAATCACAACCGATCACCTACTATACGAATGCAGCAAATTCGATCAACAAAAAAGGAAGTATAATCTCAATCCAGAAGCAGCTCTAACATCCCACGAACATATGCAAAATACCATCAACTACCTCAAGGATACCAAACTCTACAGTAGTGTATAGCACCGCCACAAACCCAATCAAATTCGTCGCTAATTACCATGCGGTAGATGCGACGTAAAATAAATCCATATAAAAAAAAAAAATTTGAATTTTCCTCTCATCGATAACTGTTATGAACGATCGAAATAACTTTCTGTCGTCGACAACTGTTACGAGCAATTAAAATGAACTTGTCTCATTGATAATTGTTATGAGCGATCAAAATGAATTTCTTTCGTAGATAACTGCTTTGAGCGTTCGAAAATGTATCGGATACTAATAACCGTTTTTTGTAACCAAAAAGTTTAAAAATCTAAATTTTTTAATCATTTCATTCTTCGATATTTTTTCCTTATATTCTGTGTTGATTGTCTTGCGCTTCAATAATAATCAATTTTTTTATTAATGACTTGTATCGTTGACAATTTTAGAATAACTGTTATATTTTAACCGTGGTGCTAGCAATGAGTACCAGTGACCTATAAAGGGTTAAATATAATCGAAATAGCATCATCGCTTAAATAATTGAAGCAGCGACGAAAACGGATAGAAATAATTCACCGATACGTATTATATCTCGCATGTTTTATCACGCTGTCACCTATTACTGAATCTTTTCTCATTGTATCGGCTATCGTTGCATTTATCGCTTCACGAATGCTATACATAGATGTATAGCACACGGTACCTCTAGTGAACAGCTTCTCGCGATGCAACAAAGAAAGTTATATCCAGCCAAGGAAGGCGTGGCAGCATTCTTCAGACTCACGCGAGATGGTTGAATCATAATACTCATAATTGAAGTCATAGGTGAATTACCGACGAATCACACGTCATGCGAAGTAACTCTTCTTTCTTAAGTCTGTCTTAACACGTTGACCGCCATGTCGCTCGCAGTGCTCTTCACTGAACGGCTAAAAAAATTAATTCCGAAAGTCGGGTATCAAACGAAATTGAATTTAAATGAAATTTATAAATTTCACTAAAGTTACTATGTAGTTATCATGTAGTCTCCAACAGTTTATAATATTTAATCTTAGCAGAAAGTTTCAAGAATATTTGCCTGGCGGTCGACGTGTTAAATGATCGGCATGGTTATAGCGGGTATCGAGTGAAATTATTCCACAAAAGAAAACATCGCAGCGATCAGATCGGATCAGTGTAAAGAGAAACGGTTTGTGGAAGGTCGTGTTAAGACAACGTAAAGACCAACCGGAAGTAACTGCCCCCTACTCCATTGAGTCGTCGAGAGGCAACGACGAATATGGTGACGTGTCTCTTGGTTTACCTGGGTTGGTTCAACGATGAGTCGATAAAAAGACATCCTGTTTCGTACTCGGCTCCCCAGGCATCGAAGTCTCCGTTTCGCGCGGAACAGAGGTGAAACGTTTCTCAAAAGTTCACCGACGCGTTCGCAGCGTTCTCGAAATTTACTGACTCAGGTTCCAGACAAAGCAACGGAAATAACGAAAACCACTCCGACGAATCCTTTCTTCTATTTTTCTATATTTTTTATTGCATCGTGATATATTCTGAACTTGGTCTACTATTTATTTATGGGAACTGCTGTAATTTCCTGATATTTTACTTGATTTCTGTATAGTTAAAATTACGTCTTCTTTACTTCAACTTCTTTACGTCAACTTATATTTTTCATAATATAGGTTGATTACTTGAGAAGAGCTTCATTGAGTAGCAACAAAGAGGAATCTAAGGGATTAAATTATTTAATCTTAGCTTTATAATTTTATTTTTAATGAAAGTTGGTAAATCCATAAATGAAGAAGGAATTATCTTAAACCTCTTTCTTTACATGTAAATTTAACACCAAACTTTTACCTGTATCGATAAGAATGATATTAAAGACCTTGTGTGACTACGTGTAAGTTTCTTTATTTATTGTGCGACCGAACATCGGTCATTGTTCAGTTGATTTATACAAGAGATCGATGAAACATGGAAGAAAAATGGGAGTCTACATGATACATTAGAAAGGAGTTTACTGTTAGAAAGTATAACGAAGACATTCCTCCAGAAGAACAGAGTTCTTGTTAACAAGAAGCATCCACTGCGCGGCAGTTGTCAGGCATAACTCGGGAAAGCATAGCGTGCATTACAGGCTATGATGAAAAGGAAACAATGACAGTGAAATCGTAATTCAATGTGGCAATATCTTTAATTCTTGGAAGAATTTGCAACAAAACAGTCGATCCAAGGATAAATAATTGCGATAAATTCTTTAAAGGAAGAATCCTATTTTAGCTGTCACTGTTACTAATTTTGTCTTGTATGATGTTTTTTTTTTTTTTCGCGAAGATAGACATCAGTTGATTGTTACAGAATAAATTTATTTTCAAACATAGAAACGTAATAATACTATTACTCTTCAAACCTAGACAATCGTAACAATAAAAAGGAACATAACGTTTCAATTTTAAATAAACGCAATTCATTTTTACCTAAAATGTAGATATAAATATATAAATAAATATAAAATAATTAATTTTTCTTCTCCATTCGTCAATTTTTGTAGACAGTTACACTATTTAGATTAAATCTGATTCTTTTTTTTTTTGTATATTACGGGTTAATGATCATGTGAAGTTGCTATGGGATAAAAATATAGAAATAACGATATCATAATTTCAAGCAAAAAATGATATTTTGTTATTTCGATAAAACCAATCGGTATTTCGAAATGGTTTGAGTTACTTTAAAATCATATTTTCAGACGGAAAATCAGAAAAAAACGTAATGTTTACATCATCAACCGTATACAATTAAGAAAAGAAATGAAATATAACCCGAAAATCACATTCCCCTCTTCCTCTTTTATGCAGAATATAAATGAATAAATAAAACGAATAAATTTTAATATTCTTTTATACAGAGTAGATTAAAATCTAACGAGTCGCAAATAAGTGTGTTGCACATCAAGTAAACATGAGCAACTATACTAACATGTAGTAGCTCTTCACTTCCGTGACATACTTTCAACGTTTCGATGAGTACACAAACAATATCTTTCGACATCCAACATACATTGATCGTAATCAGGTGGAATGCAACGCGCGCGTGCATTATCGCAACCGAAATAGGAAGTGGAAGGTGATAAGAAAAATTAGGGCAGTCACGTAGCTAATCAACTACAGTGTCTTGTTTCTCGATAAATATTTCGTATAAATGTTTCTGTCATTGAGAGAAAACTTTTAATATTTTTGGGAGGTAACATTTTATGGCGATTTACTTCCTATGCAATTTGTCCAAAACTACAGTTACAAGTAGTACGTAAATGAAATATTTAATTATTCAAAGTTGTTCGTACGTTTCTATCATTGAGAGAAAACTTTTAATATTTTTGGGAGATAACATTTTATGGCGATTTACTTCCTATGCAATTTGTCCAAAACTACAGTTACAAGTAATACGTAAATGAAATATTTAATTATTCGAAGTTGTTCGGACGTGTCTGCCATTGAGAGGAAACTTTTAATTTTATGGAAAGCGAAATGTTATGGTAATTCCCTTCCCGTGCAATTTCGATGCATACATTACGGTATAACGTCCATTATACGAATCTCTGTTATTAGAAATGTCAATCATCCAAGTTCTCTACTAAACATGTATTTAAATGTTCATGTACCAAACGGAATAAAGCCTTATTGAAATAAGTCTCACTGTTCAAATTTTCCATAACAATTGCATAACTAAATTATAATACAAATTTAATATGAGTAATAATGGCATCAAAGTGGCATAATGACAATACATGAAAGAATAAAAATTGCACACTTTTTTTTTTATTAAGAATCTTTGAATGTATATATTAGAAAAAAAAAAAGGTTGTTTAGATGATTCGAGACATACAAGGAATATATTAAATAATTTCTTGTATGTTTCAAACGTCTTACAATATCTAGCAGCCATAAATATGCGGAATTGGCGAACATTAAATAAAGTAATTCGTTTCTAATATTTGTTCGTTTCTGTTATCTTACCCTAAATGTGATCCAAAAATATCGTTAAATTTTTCGCTATTAAATTAATCAATGATACATTAATTACTATTACTTCGCGATCTATTTATAAACGTCTACAACTAGACCTATAAATAAATGTAAAAATCAAATAAAGAAGTAAATCATACGTGCCTTACATATCCTTTAACTCGATCTTCTAAGAAAATGTTAGCCCCGTTCGAATTTATTCCACGAATAAACAAATTAATCAGTCGCGATTCACTGATCGATTTTCATAACAAAGATTCCTACTGTAGAAACACGATTGCGTTAACTCGAGCTAAAGTTGGTTGAAAATTCTATTCCAGTACTGACTAGCTTACTGGTGGTCACGGACGAGGCGCCGCAGGACATCAGGCACAAGATCTACGATGAACATCCACGGGAAGCATACTTCAACGGTTCGTCGTTTCTCAAGCTCGGCTCCTTCGTCTCGGTGCACAGGCACAGCGGTCTCAGCTTTCGAACCTGCGAGGGCGGCCGACTTTTCACCCAGAAGTACAACGATGACTCTGTCAGTCTCGAAGTGACCCCAGAGGGTCTCCTCTTCGTAGCCGTCGTTGACCAGCAGCGTTACATAGCGAGGCTGAACGCCAGGTTGCTGAACAATGCCTGGCACAACGTCAATCTATTTTTCAGACTCGGCAATCTCACTCTAAACGCAGCAGGTCATACACAGGTAATCCTGGCTTTCGAACGATTTTTATAAAAACGGCTGGCTACCCCTAATGTTTTGCACTTTTCTCGTCCCGTACAAAAACCGCTCGTCCTGATCGCTTACCTTCCTTGTTAGACATTTTTCTAAATATTGTAGCATCACCGCCCTCCTCCCCGCCAACCTAAGAATAAAGAGTCGAACATTCGAGGATTCGTCGGTTCGAATCCCTGTCTTATTCTTTCATTAGAAACATAATATACAACGAAATAGAAAAATATAAATTTCACTTACAAGAAACTACCAACGTTTAATATCCACAGTATACATGTATGAATAATATTCTATAAACTTGATAGAGGTACGAACGCTAAGAAAAAATCCTAGCAGTTTGGAAAATTATAATACAATTTAGGAATTGTTAAATCGTTTATCATTTTACATCCTTCGTGATTTTTATACAGTATTGATCCGCAATATTTCTGTTTAGGTAATCGCTAACGCGACTTACAATGCTGCGATTCTTACGCTTCCTGATTACGACATGAACGATTCCCTGATTGTCGGAGAAGGATTCAAGGGATGTATCCTGCAAGGTCCTGGTATTCTTTTTAACGGTTCCATCAATAATGGAGCTGCCTTTGGTCCCTGTCCTGCGGATAACAAAGGATGTAAGAATTCTTATATTGTTCTAGTGAAAATCCTAACGTACCGAATACGTGTAAACGTGTTTACCAAACAAAGAAACATATTTACAATCGGTACAAATATTCTTCGTTTGTTATACTTTCAATATTAGACCAAAATTATTTGTAATACTTCGATAGCTACCTTGTGCCGTTTAGCTGCAGTAATAATCAAGTCGATACATTGATTACTTTTAAAGAAAACAGCTGGCAACACTTTGCACGGGACACTTTGAATGAATATTATTTATCGAACACGTATGGAAACTTTTTCGGTCGAATCTTCATTTATATCTTATTTATCATATATATCTTCATTTATATATTTATAATTTCTTGAAATATCTGACTAAGTAAACGCTAGTATGTCCTTTTTTTATATATATATATATATATAAATATCATACATGGTAAATTTTCTCTAGAAAGGCACAGAATTAATTTCTACGTCAAATATAATACACACATGTACACGAGCAACGATAGTTAAAAGAAAGGTAATGTAACGAATGTAATTCGTGCGACACAGTCGATCGAAGCAAATTGAGTGAAAATCAACGGATAACGTCGAGTATTTAGAAAACGGCGCCGAATAGACGTGCTTCTCATTAGCGTTTAGTAAATGCAATTACTTCCAAAACGACACGATTACGTCATAATTCTTTCGTAGCTGCTTGTAAAATCGTCGGAGAATTCGAGTCTCTGCGCACTTTAGGAGTGAAGATCACGCATTGTTTACGTATCTCGTTCCTCGGTAGATTAGCAGTCACACGTGTGAAATCGTGTGTACCCACTTAAATAAGTAAAGAGTAGATTGCATGCCAGATATCTTTACGAAACTCTTCCAGGTGGTACGAGCGGACTCGGAGGTGGTATAGGAACAAGCCCAATTACCACCATGGATTTCTGCCATCACGAGCCATGCATGATGCATGGCAAATGCGTGTCACGGCAGGATCGTTATGAGTGCCACTGTTACGCCCGATATTCCGGGAACAACTGTCAAATTGACAATGGTAGACATCGATGTCGAATACGGGATGTTTGCACAGACCTGTGGAATAGAAATAGATTCATGGCCTTGAGAAAGTACACCTTGCGCGAATCATTGGACCATTCTTGTGTCAACGTGCGTACAATCTGTCGAGAAACGAAAGGAAGAATAGAACTGTTCTTTGGTGTTTCAAGGAATGAGAATGTTTAACCATTTGGAATTTGAGTTTTACACGTAGATTTAGCTTTAGTCGGCTAAGTGACATTTTAACACGTTGAACCCCACGTCACCCACCTATGGATGACGGAGCTTTTCACTAAAGAATTTTAATAAATGATTTGAAGGAACTAAGTATCGACGAAAACAAGTCTCGATAGAATTCGTGAATTTCGATGAGAATTCAAAAATCAGTAATACGATAAGTGTTAGATTCTATCGTTTCTAATTGTCTCGAGACGAAATTTTTAGTCCTGTAGACATTTCCATGCGAGTCAGTGTGACAGTCAACGTGTTAAGGGGATCATTCCGCGTGACGGCTGTTTTTTTTAAGGTTCCTTCGGAATTTATTATAGCGAAATGAAAAAAAAAAACACAGAGCTCTCAAATTTTTACTATATATTTATTCAGACTTTAACTGTGACTATGAATTTTTGAAAGCGAAAATATAACGTGGATCGCTAGATTTATCGGTTGTATGGTACCCATGTAAAAAAGAAGGTAGGTGAACGGCGTCCATGGTTCCGGCAGACTGGCTAATCTTAAAAAAAAAAAAAAACCAAAGTGCATGTTAATCTGTAGATGGATGGCTATCGCCAGAACTAGGATCTTTTAAGAATCTTGAAAATTCAATTTTTTATACGCATTTAAACATCAAGACCAAAAATTTCATGATCTTTAACGACTACTTGTTTATGAAGAAAGAAAAAGGGTTCAATATTTTTCAAAAATCCTAGTTCGTGCGATAGCCATCCACCTATAGATCAACATGCAGTTTGTTTTTTTTGCCGGAATCATAGACGCTGTTCGCCTACCAGACCAAACGGTAGAGAATTGAAACAGCGTTTTTGTGACAAGAATTTATAACTAAAACAAATGTTTCTATTTAGACGTTAACATGCACAAAACTTGCCGCATTGAACCACAAAAAAATGTCTTCTCGTACATTTTTCAAGTATATGTATATCATCTGTAGAGAAGAATATTTTGTTTCAATTTTAAATCTTACTTTTCTCCAGCTATGATTTGCACATGATCATACAATCATTGATAATATTCTCGGTATTGTTCCTTTCGTCTAACGGTACAGCGTTGACTTCATAAAACACACGTACATATAATCGAAAACGAAGTAGCAGCATTAAATAATAAACATCGAAGATTGTCGATGAAGGATACCTGGCCATGAACTCTCTTTTTAATCTTCATGGATGTTTCTTGTACGATATTCTCTTGTCTGAATCTTTCTTGGCTGTCGGCTTGCGGAATTCAATGAAAATGCTCGTAGTTGTTGTCGAATAAAGTGAGATTAGTCCGCAATTAAGAGTAGATGCTGCATGGATAATTACGCGGTCGACCTTTCAATCGTTTGCGGATGCCTTTACGCACAGCATTTCGTGCGAGTACACGATCGCGCTGAACGTATAATTTTAATTATGGGAACCGAACGCATTGGATAACGGGACACCACAACTTCTCGCAGTTTTCATCGTTATCATTATTTTCCATTTCAACGCGCGCATCGCTAATGTATCTATCGGCTGCTTTTCAAACTAGAACCATTATTGTACAGTTCCAAAAGAACCTCTTTTATTTTAAGTATGGAGTCCTACGATTAGTTTTCAGTCATCTTCAGAACCCTACATAAAAATGTTATTAACTAAAAATTAATAAATAAAATTAAACTTAATGCTTTGCATGGTAAAATTGTGGCAGTACAAAATAATTACAACAACAATGAAAACAGTAATAATAATAATGTTTCGTCAACATTTCTGTATACTGGTGATCAGACTGTTATTGTTACGTAAAGAATTTTTTATTATTATCTATTGAACGAAAGTCTTGTAATTTAACTTTTCTTTCCTCTTTGCTTTCCACGGATTGTGTTAATTATGATATATTTAAACCAGGAAGTTCAGATACGTATTGAAAACATGCTTGATTGGATTATTATTGGCTTATTATTGTTTACTTTGAACGCTCTATTAATTGAAATGCTCATTGATCAATTTGGCTGAAGGGCACTTTTGACACTCTTATCCGGCTAGACCCTTTACGCTTATCAAACGTTGGTTTAATAGCTACTGGAATGATCTACCTTAACCAAGCCACCTGAATATTCCTCGTGATACAAACATCGTAAACTATCTTAAAGACACTAATTTATACAATACAATATAGTATATAATTCCACTAATCGAATCTCAATGAAATCTGTCTCTGGTAACTAAGCAGTAGATGCGACGTACAATAAAGATATTTTATATGCTATTTTAGTGGTATCGAGTCTCTTTTTTTTTTTTTTTTTTGGAAATTCTCAATTTATTTGCGTCGTCGCAATTGGAAAATATATTCAATAGCCTGGTGTAGGTGGTCCACCCAGTATCGTATTTCGTTTTTGTAATCTCTCTCTCATGGTTACTTTCTTCTACCTGGCAATAGGTGTCTGGATGTTGGGTGTCACTGGCGTCACATAATTTTGCACAGTGCTATCATTTGGTGTTAACACGTTGGCTGCCAAGCTAAATCTCGTGAAAATTGTTCTAAAGTTAACATTTTGTCTCGAGACTATTGGAAATTAGATAATTTAACATCTGTCGTAGTATTTATTTTGTTTAACGTCGTCAAATTCACGAATCCTGTCCAGAATTTTTTCTATTATTGTCTCACCTTTGAAATTAATTTTGTCAGTTCCTTAATAAAGAGTCCTGTCACCCATTTCCGGATGACGTGGCCACCAACGTGTTAAAGGCGCTCTCTTACTAATTTTCCTAGCTATCTCATCTGCAAACTCACTAAAATCTCGTGTAAAACATCCGCCAGGTCCACCGTGTGCGAACAACCCGTGTCGGAACGGCGGCACGTGCAACGAGGACCAGAAAGGAGACTTCAGCTGTACTTGCAAACCAGGATTCACCGGAACATTCTGCGAATCGCAGCTAGGCGTGCGTCTTTGCGAGCAGAGTCCCTGCAGAAACGACGGTGTGTGCTTGGCGCTCACCGACACCGAGTACAAGTGCGAATGCTTGCCCGGATGGACGGGGAAGAATTGCGAGACCAACTTCAACGAGTGCTCCTCGAATCCATGCAGGAACGGCGGGGCGTGCATCGACGGTATCAATAACTATACCTGCATATGCGATAGAACTGGGTACGTTTAGGACATCTTTTATGAATTGGGATCAATGGAGTTTTTCAAACTGGCACCGAGCTCAGTATTTATTTCAATCGCGGACCACACCGCTCTACAATCGGCTAAATATGATATATAGTTACTCTCAGTTCCGAGACTAGACGTAATATTCTGCGGGGCTTTAATAACGATTACGCTTAATACATCACGTTTTAAAAATTTGTAAAACAATACCTCATTTTCAGCGTCCTTAACCGGGCTCCTCTCTGAAACCCAAGGTCGAAACGATCATTATTAGACCGTGGATACGTTTTCAATGATTTTATTTTGCAAAAGATCCTAATTACTATCCTAATTACTCTAAATACACAAACTGGTTTTCCATCTCGCAAGCGTCGAATTTCATTTAAAATTATCAACCATATCGTTTCTCGTTGCAGGTACGAAGGCGTAAATTGCGACATCGATATAGACGAGTGCCTGGCGAACCCATGTCTGAATAACGGTGTGTGCTTTGACAATTATGGTGGTTACATTTGCCATTGCCCGAGCGGTTTCGAGGGCCAGAACTGTGAACTGAATTTGAACGAGTGCCTGACGAATCCGTGTATGCACGGCGGCGACTGCGTGGACGAAGTGGGCTCCTATCATTGCACTTGTCCACCTGGATACACCGGTCGAAACTGCGATCTCAGGAGCTTATGCGAGAACGCAGCGTGTCCACTGAATAGCATTTGCGTGGAAGACGCTCACGGCCCGCAATGCGTCTGTAATCCTGGATTCATGGGCAATCCTCCAAATTGCACTATCAATTACTGCGCGAGCAATCCGTGCGAGAATGGGGGTACCTGCACGAGCAACAAGGACGGTTACAACTGTACTTGTCCACCGGAACGAAAAGGTAAGCGATCACATTTATCGTATCGCAAACCAATGTCGATCTGAACTTATTAAACACGTTGACTGTCCGCTAAATCTAGGAGATTTCTTTAGCTAAGAAGCGCAGCTACCTCGTTGGAACAATGATGCATGGTAGCCTGGGTTGATGTGCAAGTTCGTGTAGGTTTATTTTAAACACGAGTTTAGCTATCGTTCGATAACTCCTTCCTTTATTTTGTCTGCCCACTCGAGTCTTGCTCTTCGTTACTTGATTGGAAAGAAGAAGATTCGAGTGCTGACAAAGATGGAACTAAGAAAATGTATCTTAAAGCTTACTTCATTTCTGATAGCTTCCTTTCTCCTCTGTAATCTTGAATTTGAAACCTCTCGCTACTCGACTGACATAAGAAGAGTCAATAGCAATACTATGGAAGAGTAAGGGAAATATCGAATGGCACTTAACCCTTTCCACTCGAGGCCTTTTTTTCTGGTATCTACCAGCAACTCGAGATGTTTCTTAGCATTCTATTGCCATGAATTCTAAGCTATCTAGATTTGAGAATAAGGTCACCTTTATCTCGCCGACAATCATTTTATTGACACTTCGAGCTCCAGAGAAATGAAACCTAAAGAAACATTAAGTATTGTAGATTTGCTGCGCGAAACCTAATGCTGACTGAGAGTCCTCTCTGAGAGACCTCTCGAGTCCAAAGGGTTAATACATGGTCATAGAGGTATAAAAATAAACCTGCATCAACGTTTACGACTGGAAAAGATAGTTATTTATTACTATGACAATCTAATTGTCTCTTCGAAGGTTTGAGATTCGAGATTTCGAGTACAGACAGTCGATGTGTTAAATGTTCTCAGTCCCCCACGTTTATATGTAAGCAATAGAAAAACAGTAAAAGAGAATGATGGAATGGTTCTCGTCGTCTGCTGGAAGTTAATTGCTACCTCCAGATATAAGAACGTATTCCAATTGGAGGCATCGTTACTTCGAAGCAGCTGACTCTGGATGTATGTTAACACTTTTTACGAGATTTGGACAGCTGCAGTTAACTCCGTTCAAATATCGTTCTTTAACTATGCGTCGAGCGTTACGTTTCTGTTATTAAATGCTTTGTGTTTATCTGAATGTTTTAAAAAAGAATCTTGACACGACTCTCGTGGCCTTGTGATAGTTAACTGTTGTGCATAGATATAAAAATTCATTCTAACTGAAAGCACTTTTATTTCACAGATGACCTTGAATGTATGAAGACTATGTTAATGTTACAATGAAAATGGATGGTACAGTGAATGTATACCTTCTCCATATTGATCCTTGATTGTGGATTAAATTGTTAATTTATTAATAATTCCTCCTTTAAGATTAGTTAACCTTTATTACCTGGGATTAATGAAGGTATTGCGATAAAAGAACCTTGTTGTTTTGGTTTGCAACGGAAGTACCTTTCGCTATCGAATGTAAACTGATTCCACGTGACGCTATTTATAAATATTTATAAATACCAAAGTATAATAGTATCAGAAACATTTCGTTGTCTTGAAATAAAACTGAGTATAATACCAGCATAAATCAATGTTCTGGGTTGGTTTGGTTTCGTTTCCAAGACAATAGAAGATTCCTAATCGTTACGGCATAATAAAATTAAAGTGACAAACAGATGTATACGGATATTCATATTCTGAAAAGTTTACTGACGACCAGTAGTGGAAGTAACTTAATCCTATTATCTACCTATTAATTGTGTTGTTCTTCGAGCTTCGTTCATCGTCTGTATGATGTACACGTCCTTGAATGTTTTGTGTTGTATTTGACGTTTTGTGTCCGTGTATCGTCTATCAGGAGCGACGTGTCTGTCATCCGCATCGGATTGGTGTTCCGCCTGTTACAACGGTGGCAGTTGTCTTGAGACGCGTTTCGGTATCATGTGTCAATGCCCCAGATTCTGGACGGGACCACAATGCAAGGATCCGATCACCTGTCGCGATCTTCCTTGTAAACAAGCTTCCGCTTGCCACGATTATGTGAGTGAGACATCAGCACACGGCTATGCATGCACACGTTCAGCCGATTAATCGAGCGTGTCTCGTCGAATGTATCTCTATGTGGCTACTTGCTTTGTTTGTTACGTCTCGCTCCTCCGTACAGCCTGGCGGCTATTATTGCACCTGCGAGCCAGGATGGACCGGACCCGAGTGCTCCATCGACATCGACGAATGCTCCAGCGATCCCTGTCGTAACGGCGGCATCTGCATCGATCAGCAAAATAGTTACTACTGTCAATGTCTTCCGGGATACACTGGTAATCACGCGACTCGCGATTCTTCCACTTTGCACGAGGCTTTACTTCTCTATACTCGTTTTGCTATGCGTGAGACTGATTGCTTATCGCCAACCCCATTTTTTCTTATTTAACTCTTTGACCGCGAGACGATTTTTGCTGTAAACGTACCTCGCCCATGTTGATGACATCTTTTCATTCGTTAAATCAGTTTTTTCGAAAGTATCTCTCTATAGAAAACGACAAGACGAAACTTTTTTATATTTTCAATTCATTCATCCGACGGTTAGTTTGAAAAACATAAATTGAAAACATATAAAAAAACTTTTTTCCTGAAACTCAATTTTCGAAACGGACTCGTAACATTTCAATTTTTATTTTCAAAACTACGCATCCTACGAAGAAACTGTAGATATGAAAAAAAAAAAAAGTTTCACTTTATCATTCTCTATAAGGTGATGTTTCTTTTAAATTCGATTATTTGAAAACTTAAAAAGTCTTATTTCCTGAAATTCAATTAGATTTTAAAACGTAGTTTAGAATGATCGCTGTAACTTGGCCTAATGTCATCGAAGATCTTTCAAATTTTGTACAGATGCGTAATACGATGCAGCGATACCTACCAATCCATCGAAAATCCGAAAATCCGTTACTGTTTATAAATATTCAATCGCTAATGAGTAACTGCCAACACTTGTTATCGCAAACAGGGAAGACCTGCCAGATCAACGTGGACGAGTGCTTGTCGCAACCTTGTCAGAACGGTGGCACCTGCATCGACAGGATCAACGGATACACTTGCAACTGCACCAAGGATTACATGGATGAAAATTGCGAACGAGAGTACAACGCCTGCGCGATAAATCCCTGCCAGAACAACGGAAACTGCACTCTCATACCAAGATCGCGACGAGAATTCGTGTGCGAGTGTCCGAGAGGATTCGAGGGCAAGACATGCGACATCAACGTGGACGACTGCGTGGACGTCATATGCCCCGACGGGAAAGTTTGCGTCGACGGAATCGCTGGATACGAGTGCAAATGTCGCGAGGGTTACAGGGACCCCAATTGCACCCTTATCGTTGATCACTGCGCGACGAAACCTTGCAACAACGGCAAGTGTATCGATCGCGGTGAACTTGGTTTCGACTGCAACTGCACGAACGGTTACCAAGGTAAACTTCGTCGAATGAAACAATTTTTGCGTATTCAAATACTTGTTAGATAGATTACCAATCAATTAAGTTGATACGCGACCGACAGTTTTGCGTCCAATAATTTTTCTTAATTTTCTGTGGAGAAATTATACTGCTGCACAGTTCAGTGCTGCTGGACAAATGCTGCCATTATTTGTGCAACAGTTAGAACAGACCCTGAGGCTCTAATTGACCTACTTGAAGTAGTTTCGAAGAATTGTTACGAAGCTTGCTTGTGTTTCAGATTATAGCTGGTATTGTTGTTTCTGTATTTCTCTCCTGGCAAGTTGACACTCGCCACTGTTCTCTGTATTATTTAACTACCTGTAATATTAGTACTACCATATCAATCGGATTTTATATCTATGAAGGTTACACGATTATCTACCCTACGTATCTACGAACAATTTCAAGAGAAGAACGTTGTATATCTTTTTCTGGAAATAATTTCTATTCTAAGACATCAACAAGAAAAACAACATTTCTATGTACATTCTCCTACGTTCTTCATAAATATACATTTTCAAATTTTATAATTACTTCAAAAGAAGAAATTGTTGTACACCTCTCCTTGAAAATAATTTCTACATACTTTAAAACATCGACAAGAAAGAAATACATGCATTACCAAACTTTATACATCCAATTCATAGCAACAGGCAATAAATTAAGAAATTCATTTAATTTAATTCACAGGCAAATTTATTTCTAAAATCGTCACAGATATTTATCCACCTTACATACTTGCCTAAAGAAACATAAAAAGAAGAAATCCTTTCGCCATTCCCTGTAAATGATTTCTACTCAAATACATCAACAAGAAAGGAACACGTACATTTTCAAACTCTATGCTATAACTCTATGACACTATCTATTAAATAATTGGTTTCATTTGATTTATAGGGAAACTCTGCGACGAGGATGTGGACGAATGCGAGGTCGAAGGCAGCTCACTGTGCAACTACGGGATCTGCGTGAACACCGACGGCAGCTACAACTGTTTCTGTCGGCCAGGCTTCTCCGGGGACCATTGCGACATCAACATCGACGAGTGCTTGTGCGGACCCTGCAAGAACAACGCCACGTGTATCGACGGCATCAACACATTCGAGTGTCAATGTCCACCTGGTTATTCCGGGAAAACCTGCGACGTGGACGTGAACGAATGCGAGAGCAATCCTTGTCTAAACGATGCTTCGTGTGTCGACGAGGTCGCCGGCTACATGTGCAATTGTTCCCCTGGTTTCAGTGGGTCGAATTGCGAGATAAATATCGACGATTGCGAGCCCCAACCGTGCTTGAATCACGGCAGATGCATCGACGGTATAAACAATTACACCTGCGACTGTATCGACACTGGCTTCGAAGGTGCACGCTGCGAAAAGAATATCGACGACTGTCGCTCGGAACCTTGCGTGAACGGTGCGCTCTGTATAGACGACATTAAAAATTACAAGTGCCAGTGTTACGCTGGGTACACTGGAAAAAACTGTGAAGTGGATATAAACGAGTGCGAGAACTCACCTTGCCAGTACAACGGCACTTGTTTAGAGAGATCGAACAGAGAATTGTATAAGAGCGACTCGTTAACGTTACCTTCGATATTTAATCAAGAGTTTAGCTACGCTAATGCGAGCGGGTGAGTGTTATATATCCCTTCTTTCCTTGGTGCATAATGTGCTCAGCTGGGATCCGCGATAAAACAAATTGTAAAAGTAACTAAGGAAATTTTGTAGAAGATAGGGAACAAGGAACTGTTAACCGAATAGTTTAGATAATCGAGGTATACTAGCTATCCTCTCTATGAGCCCTTCACCGTAGATCATGGTTTAGGTAGTAGAAGCTACCGGGGTCTAAAAGGTACTGGGCTCAGCTATGGGGGGATAGAAGGTACTCGGCTCAGTTACGAGTTCTTATATCCGAATCTGAGCTTGATTTTATTCGTATAAGCAAAGTGCGGATAAACAAGGTTTTATACGAAGAATATTAATAATGAATATTAATTTCTGTTTCAGGTACGAGTGTCTGTGCGTGCAAGGTGTTACGGGGAAAAATTGCGAAGTAAATGTTAACGAATGCGATAGCAGCCCATGCCAAGCGGGAACCTGCGTAGATCGTATCGGTGGCTACACCTGCGAATGCGACGAGGGTTATGAGGGCGATCATTGCCAGCACGATATCGACGAATGCACAAGATACCAGCCATGCGAGCACGGTGGATGCATCGATGGAAGAGCCGATTATACTTGCACTTGTGATCCGGGATATGGCGGGAAAAACTGTTCTGTGGAGCTCATCGGTTGTCAAGGAAACGCATGTCAAAACGGTGGTACTTGTTGGCCGTATCTTGTTGACGAGACTATACACAAATTCAATTGTACCTGCCCGAACGGATACCATGGGGAAATCTGTGATTATGTAAGTTCCTGCATTGTGTACTTCAGCCTTCGTAGAAGTAAACGGTAGAGGATTTAGTAATTATGTATATTATTAACGACCTCATCGATTTCAGTAGTCTTGAAGTATTAGATATAGTAATTGATTCTGTATCTTTGTTAGGTGAACTTACTATTTATTTATAAAGAAAAACCGTGATGAAAATCAATGGTTATCGATCGTTTTTATCTCTGTTATATTTTGTATAAATTCTTTTTATTCGTAGATAACGACAATGTCCTTGAGTGGGAGTTCCTACGTTCTGGTGAACACTACCCGCGACGAAGGATACGACATACAGTTTCGGTTTCGGACAACCCTGCCCAACGGATTGCTCGCTATCGGGAAAGGATCGACGTTTTACATTCTCGAACTTGTAAACGGCAAATTAAATCTACACTCGAGCCTCCTAAACAAATGGGAAGGCGTGTTCATCGGTAGCGGTTTAAACGATTCCAATTGGCAGAAAGTGTTTGTTGCGATCAACGCTACGCACTTGGTACTCTCAGCCAACGAAGAACAGACGATTTATCCTATTAGCTTGAACGAGGCTTCTAATTCTAATCACACGTCCTTTCCAATGACCTACGTCGGCGGTACCACTAGCTACTTGCGACAATTGAGCCATGGTCCTTCTTTCTTTGTGGGCTGCACCGAGGATGTCGTTATTAACGGAGAGTGGGTATGTTGTGTTCTGTTACGCAAAGAATTTAAATATTAAGTATTAAATCGAATATTTATCTAGACAACCACTACATAATGAGAAAATTTATGTCTAGGTGTACTCTGGTACCTCGTTGAAGACTGTGTCCATGGAGGACGTTGAACCAGGTTGTCCTCGAGAGGCTCAATGTACCCCGAATCCTTGTAAGAACGGTGGTCACTGCACGGACAGATGGCGTGATTTTTCCTGCAAATGCGAGCGACCATACCTCGGTCACACCTGCCAATATAATATGACAGCTGCCACGTTCGGATACGAGAACATTACGAATGGATACGTGACAGTGAAAGTGTCCGACGTTGCAAGACGGTCGGTCAGATCAATCGTCGATATTTCCATGTTTATTCGCACGAGGCAGGACAGAGGTGACATATTCTATTTAGGATCGGAACCAAGTTCGCAGACGGATTTCAAGCCCCAGGAAAAAACTTACATAGCAGCCCAGTTGGAAGGTGGCGAGCTGCTTGTTAGAATTCAGTTCAACGGCACAGAAGCGTATACAGTCGGTGGCGTGAAACTAAACGACGGGAACAATCATCTGATACAAGTGATCAGAAACGTTACGTTGGTGCAAGTAAGAATTAATGGCACCGAGTATTTCCGAAAAACCATCAGCGCGTCGGGTCAATTGAACGTGACAGTCCTGTATTTGGGTGGCTTGCCACAAGCGTCTAGGTACATACGACAAGTCGACAATCGTCAAATAGACGTACCACAAGCTCCGCAGGTTAATTTCAAAGGGATTATTCAAGATGTCCAGATATCGAATGACATTGAAACTATGGTCGTCGAATTCTTCCCGTTAAAGGTAAAAATGTATTGAAATGTAGCATGATATTTTAATCTGTCTGATTCGAAACGTGAAATATTAGGCAAATAGTCGATACAAGCATGTTATTATTTGTAATAAACGCTTTGACTTCCACTTTCTAAATCATGGCTATAACGACAAATAATTTTAAAGGCAAACGACATTCCACCGCCAATACAGTTTGGTAACGTAACCTTCGACTACGACAAAGTCCTCGAGGGTGTAATCTCCGACAACGTCTGCGTGAGCAGTCCGTGCAACCACAACGGTACCTGTCACGTCACATGGAACGACTTCTGGTGCCAATGTCCGCGGGGCTATACCGGGAAGACTTGCCAGGAAATGGAATTCTGCCAACTGCAAGATTGCCCGACCGGATCCAAGTGTCAAAATCTCGACGACGGCTACGAATGCATCGCCAATGCCACCTTCGACGGAGTAACGACGTCCTTCACTTACGTTTACAATCAGGTGGAGGAGAAGAACGTAACCGACTCGTCGATCGATGGCATCCAAATTAAATATCGATCAAACACAGGTGGCACCCTGATGCACATCGCGCCCCACGTTGGCGACCAGCACTTCACGGTTTCCGTTTACAAAGACAAGATTACGGTTTCCTGGCGCTTGGATATGCAAAATCAAGGGACGCTGAACTTTGCTAAAGTCGAAGCCGACGGAAACTGGTCGTCCATAGTATTGAAATTAAACAACAATTCCATGGAGTGCGGGTATGCAAATTATAACGAGGAGAGCGCGTGGTACGTCTCCCCAAACTTCAGTTTCTCTCTGTGGTATGATTTACTGGTAACTGGAACGGTCACCCTGGGTGGGCTAGGTTCCACTTTCTCCGACAGACACAATTACGTGACCGTCGGTTCTAGTAAACAGATGTTAGAGAATAGAAGCGGCATTCAAGATAATTCTATAGAGTTCGCCGAACGTATATTGACCACTGTCTCGCCACCTCACAGTGTAATGTCAGGTAATATCCTGATCGAATTCTTCTCTTCATCTTACACATTATTCGCTAACCGCTATCCACGCTGCTCTGAATGCGCATCCTCCACTTTCTCTGTTCTCCACTTATACATTAGATTTTTACATCCTCGTTGTCGGATGTCGTCCACCTTCAGCTTGCATAAATTTTAAATCATTTGACACTTTACCAAACTCCAAGCCAACCGTTCATCTTCTTTCGACTGAAAAACACATTTTACTTTTCAGGCGAAGCTTTCAAAGGATGTTTGGGCGAAGTACGAATTGGCAGCATGCTGCTACATTACTTCACATATGAAGAGGTTTATCAGAACGCTAATTTTACGCCCCTTGAATACTTGGCGCTACAGGAAAATAACTCGACCCATCACGAGAGTATCGGTTGTCAACTTTGCTTCGACGTAGATTGCAAAAATGGCGGTTACTGTCTTGACAAAGCAAATAGTTACGTCTGCGAATGCCCACCGGGTTACACGGAAGAAGACTGTTCTTTTAACATTGACGAGTGTATCGACAATAAATGTGAAAACGAAGCGACATGTGTGGACGGAATTGCTAATTACACCTGCGTGTGCAACAGTGGCTGGCAAGGATGGCTGTGAGTATATTCTACTGTATTGAAGAGAACCCTAGGATTTTCTGATCAAACTGTGCTAGTGGTTCGTTGGTAGGATAAAAATCTTATATGAACAAAGTTTCAAAATCCTAATTAAAGATGTGCTGTAATTATGAAGCAGAACGTTTCGACGCAGTTTGGTTGGAAAAACCTGGGGAACCCTGCATTAATAAGTTCTTAAGTAAAGAATCAGACAATCGTTTCGCCGACAATGTTTGCATCGAGACCGTTTCACCGACACCGACTTTTGTCTATGTGTATACACACTGAATTCCGCAAATATACCATAACAATTTCTTGCTTCTATATCTTCTTTATATCTTATCTATCTTTATCTTTATGCTAGATGCGACGATGACATAAACGAGTGCCTACTTCTCAGTCCTTGTCAGCACGACGGAGTGTGCTTGAATGATCGTGGATCCTTTCACTGCGAATGTCCAGATCAATTTACCGGCGAGCTGTGCCAGAATTTCCGTTTAATTACATGCGAAAACAAACCTTGCAATCATGGCGTTTGCACGGACGTCGTGAATTCTAAGACTGGTGACAATTTCACTTGCACCTGTACGACTGGTTACGAAGGTTCAATTTGTGACGTTCCTTACTGCGAAGTGTCGGGGCGAAAATGTCAAAATGGTGGTAGATGCGACTCCATGTATCAGGTTCGAACACCATTAGTTTCTAGCTAGAAAAAACATTTTTCACGAAAATATTGTAAAACAAATTTAGTACTAAGGCTTTTCTGATTCCACTAATATATTACTTTTTAATCGTTAGGCACCTAGATGTATATGTCTACCTGGTTACTCTGGACTATATTGCGAAATTAATATTGATGACTGCGCACCAGATGCTGACGGAAATACACCATGTAAAAACGATGGAAAGTGTTACGACGGCGTAAACAATTTCACCTGTGACTGTAGCGATACTGGCTATACCGGAGGCGATTGTTCTTACGATATAGACGAATGCCGGGATTCAACGACAGACTGTGGTCACGGTCGATGTGAAAATTTACCAGGGACTTACCAGTGCATTTGTGATCCGGGTTATTGCGGATACAATTGCGGAATGGTGAATCCTTGTAGAGGGGTACTGATTTTTTAGCAAACTTTTCTATCTCCACACAGGGCCGAATTAAGGGTTTAGAGGCTCAGGGATCTTATCAGCTGCAAGGTCTTAGAATCTTGCAATTTATTAACATTTTAGAACGACTTTTTTTTTTAATCTAGATTAACATCGCGTCAACTCTTAAATTATTAGCGATGGGAACGTTAAAGTTTACTTGTATTACTTCATTAAAAACCTTTGTTTCTTTCATAAATCGAAGCAGGTCATGAATATGTCTTAAGTAATTACGCAAAACAAATGCTTGAAATTTAATTGCCATTTAACCTTGTAAAAATTAATTTCATATTCTTTAATGTTCTTGTTTCTATTTATAAATGTTAATGGAGGCCTCGCAATACTTGTAGCCCGGAGATCTATAAAATCTTAGTTCGACACTGCATGGATCGATGATAAATTTTTGTCTTATTCACATGACACTTACTTCTTTCAGGATTACTGCCAGAATGGTGGTACGTGTAAATGTAGCGATGACGGTGGTTACAAATGTCTATGCACACCGGAATATACCGGACAAAATTGCACAGAGGTATGTTCGACTATAACGTATTATGAATAGATTGCGAATTTTATGCATTTATGATACAATGTTACGTAATAAATACATGGTAAATATAACCAAAAGGTATGTGGACTTATGCTAAACTTTAGACTCTCTAACTTCTCTTTAGACGGAGCACTTCTTGGGAAGCCAAGCATTCGATATAGCTGTGATCGTTGGCCCTATCGTCGGATGTCTCTTCCTCATCGCAGCCGGCTCTTTAATCGCATTGTTTATGATGGCTAGGAAGAAACGAGCAACCAGGGGAACTTATAGTCCTAGTGCTCAAGAGTTTAGTAATCCGCGTGTAGAGATGGACAACGTGATGAAGCCGCCGCCTGAGGAGAGATTAATCTAAAAAGAAAAAACGTTCGCGACGAGGGGGGCAAGTTACGGTTGTTCCGCGTCGACAAATCCTAGTCTTTTGAGAATACGCGCATTTTGCAGTGTTTATCTATGGGAATTGCGTTATCTATCGAACCGTCCTCTCGATAAAACTGCTTTCGAACAGCAAGTAAGAAGGGTACCATGAAAATGACCGAATACACAGACTTCACCCACCAGGATTCACTGAAACTAGTTTTGATTGACCGCGATACACATTCTCTACGTTTAATTATGATGAGCGTTTAATTAAAACATTTATCTACTGTAATGTATGTAATTGTCCATGGCAAAAATGTGTATCGCGGTCAATATTTGCGTCGATTAAAACTGGTGTCGGTCATCATTACTGTCGATGAATTCTGATCGGTGAAATGTCAGCGTTGGTCATTTCCATGGGGTCCAGTAAGAAAATAATAAGGTTTCATCGCGTTTTCTAGTCCACGCTTCTGATCACCATGTTATCAGATTGTCCTAAGGAATTAACATGTTCGCTACCATCGCATATGCGTGACGCGCTGATTCTCGTGAAAGACCAACGTTATGTATATGTTGCAGCGATGAGTTTTATATTCCATGTCTTCATAAGTAAGTGCAGCACAGTCAAACCTCGAGGAAGAAAAATGAAAATTGTTTCAAGGTATAGAGGTTTCGACTTGCAGAGGTAAGCAGGTTTTTCATACAGGGGTATCTAAGGAACCAAATGCAGTGACAACTGTAAGGTCAAATTCAAAATACAATACTATTTTTATTGTACTCAACACATTCGCGATCAGCAGATTTTTCACGTTTCTATTACTGAGCACCGGCGAAAATAATGAAATTCTGAAGCTGGTTGATGCAAACGTGTATCGTTAGGGCGAAGATAAAAATTACAAAACGTTTTGAATCATCAATGTTGTAAATATAAATTTAAAATAAAAAGATTTTCATAATACGTACACTTACTTTTAAGGTAGATAATAGACAACCAGGAATAGAATTTGAAATGACGTGAATTCACGTCAGCGATCGCGAATGTGTTAAGTTCAAAGTTGTTCCAACTGACCGAAAGTGCTTACTGACAATGACTGATGATTAAAGTGATGTATTGTGATTAGTTATCTTTGATTATGATAAATTTTATTTTAATAGAATTGTTGAATAATTTTGGTTGACCGAGTAAGAGGAATAAGATGTATAAGATATTCGAGTAAATTTTGAACAGATTCAGTACTGATATCAATGAATTTATTATGTAATGTATGTCTCAATGTACTTCACTTATCAAATCAATAACGTTATCGATTTTTTACTAGTGCAGAGATAGAAAAAGTAGCATAGTGCAACACAAAATATAGAAGGCAGAAACAAATTATAAAAATCAATGAATTATGTTTCGAATTGTAGAGATGAAGCAGCTGTGTGCACAACTTTGAGTCAACTTTTATTTTTTTAGCTATCGAGGATTTACATAGGGAAATGAGTAAAGCTTCCACTTATAGAGGCTTTGTATTTAAAAATATTTCAATTATAGAAATTGGAGTGTATGAACTAGCGTCACATTGTTCAAAATGATCTGGGTGACATATTATTTGAAGCAGTCAATTAGCCTATTATTAATTTAGTACATTTTATTTGCACAATTAAAAAAAACCATATACTGCATTAACCCATTCAAGCTTGATAGAGACATAGGTATACATAATATGTTAAAGTTAGTAATTTTGTGTTGCATAATGTTTATTTGCACATACTTTTATTATGTATACATGCATGCTAATGAAATTATGCAATGATCTTTTGCTAAATATTTTACACTGGATTTCTACAACTTGTCTCTAACTGTTTAAAAATAAATTATTATTTAAACGAAACTAGACTGAAAGGGTTAACTAAAACTACTACAAATGTTGCTTAAACTGTGGTTTGCCAATTGAATGGTGGTAGCGAACTTGTTAAGTAAACATTGCCAGATACGATAACTAATCTCGAAGAGTCCAAGACAGGCGCTAAAAATGAAACACGTTAGGGCTATCATCGTAATCCAGTGTTGGGCACAATGTAATCCATGATGAACGATCAACGAAAAATCAGTAATTACGATTACTGAATAACAAATAATTAATTACCTCTGAAAAGTTACAAATTGCAAAAGTAGTTTACGATAACTAAATCTGACAACTGTGAGTGATTATTGCAAAAAATAATCACCAAATAACCACTGCCCAACCCTGTCGTAATCGCAGCTTCGGTATCAAAGAATTATCGAATAAGCGTTAAATCGATCTATTGTGTAATAATTCGTCGTAAAAACGATTTTTTCAAATGTTCACATGAAAGAGGATAATGTATTGGCACGTTTGCATATCGGCCATGCAAGTGATTTGGACGAAAATCGTGTATTTACACAAAGTGTACTTAAATCTCCATTAAGTGTCCTTAACAAACAAGCAATACTCGAGAGAAGCTCCTAAGCAACGAGACCCGTCCATTTTAGTGCCTAATTTACCCTACTTAAAAAGAGATTTTATTTATAAGCAGTGAATACGAAACATTGAAGATGTACGCATTCCAGAAACGCGTTAAACTCGAGTGCGTATATTTGAGATCTCTCAAGCATAATAGTATTCATTATTCTTATTCTGCTCATTAGATTCAAGGCAGCTGATGCGGATACGTTATGAATTATTATAGTGCAGTTATGTTAACGATTATATTGCGAATATATCGGAACCTTGTTTGTAAAAAAAAGATGTCGTTGATGTTGTTTATCATGACTTACACAGTACTTATCGTCGGTGCGTTTCTACGTTTCACAGTATCGCCGCACTTGTTAATTTTGTACATAAACTAGATTATAAGTTGAAGAAATTATTAACGACTCTACCAATAGCGTTTTATATAAATATAGTATTTAATAACGAATATTATTTGGTACGTAATTATTTACTACCGCGACCAAAGTAATAGCGAGAGTTTTTCTCATCTGTTAATATGATTGATATAGAGCTGTTACTGATGAAAATATCATCTTTCAATAGTAATTAGCATGTTGATAATTGTAGCTAATAGTTATAATTCTTTGAGGAAACAGATGACCTGACGTATCATTATTAATACTATTAATACTTTTAAATACATCAACATCGACTTACTGTTTATCCGATGTATGGAGTTTAAATTAATGCCAGTACGTATTCACTGTATCGAACGTTACAGAAGCAAAATTTGTTATCAACAAATACATAGAGGTTGACGTGTACCGAGTATGCTTAATATTTAATTAATATATTCGATGAATTGGCATTATACTTTATGTAAAACATACTGTGTAGTGTAATGTGGTATCAATCAGAAGCATACGCAAAATTTATTACGGCAATAGTTTATATTGAAAATTTTTGAATGATCATATTACGCTTTCGAGCTGTAAATAATAATCTTTGTTCAACGTATACCGAAAACTGAATATCGTCAATGTTTCTTCAAGACTGAAATTGTGGGTACTAAGAACACATAAATACGTATGCATGCGATTTTCATGTACTTATTTTATGACAAAATGTGACAACATGCAATATATGTGGATCTATAATTATAAAATACTTTCGTTAATTGAATGTACAAAAAACAATAAAAATTAAAATACTTGAAATATTTCATTTCACTTTCACAACGTGTATATACAAATAATTACGTAATAACATAAAAATATTACTTTTGAATATGTACAAACATTTAAAAAATTTTTCTAAAATTTGACTAGAGATGAAAAAAATATTTATGTACACCTATATTTGATTTTTGTAAAGTCATTTTCCATTTAGTATTTAGTCTAATTTCATAAATCTATTAAGACCAACCAATCTTCTTCCCATTTATTTTACTCAATTTATCACGTGATATCTTGTCGAAAAATAAAAGTCCAGCAGCACGTTCTATACTCTCTGGTGGTACCTATCGTAATGTTTATATTAGTATCAACTATATAAGCATATACAACAATATTATACTATACAAAAATAAATAATTTACCTGAAAATTTGTTAAAGGAGTATTGTCAGCTATAGGAGCATTTGGCATTACAAATGCTTCCATTTCTAATTTTGAGTCGTTTGTTTCGAGAACAATTATTTTATAAAAATGTGTGGGTACAGCTACATGATTTGCACCAATAACTTCGTAACGTACATATTTCCTCCCATCAGCCTCTTTTCTGTATTAATAATATAATTAAATTAATTACATAATTGACAAAAGAAATAAATAAGAATTTGAGGCTTTCACTTACTTTGGCAAATATAAAGGTCCTGTACAAACAAACACATCCTTATACATTTTAGTTAAATTTCTAACATATTTTTCTAATCTATTCCAAGCATCTCTATTAAAACCTACACCCACTTGCGGTGCCATATTTGAGAGGAAAAATGTTTGTTCTATATGGCTTTGATTGACTTTATGATTTCCTGCTGCTGCTAGATGTCCTCGATCGTACCCACTACCTTTATAGTCGCTATTGTCTGATCTAATTACCAATACATTTATTAAAATGTTAATTTTTAAATATAGATACTTAGAGACTGAAAATACTTACCTAAAAAAAGGATGTATACTTGGATCAGGTTTGAATTCACATTTACTACGTGATATTTCATTGTTCTGTTGTAGTCTATCTTTGGTTAAATGTTCAAACACCCAATGAGCTACCCTATTTCTTCTGTCATAGGAAAGTACAAAATCCTCGAACGATCTTATGTTATCGAATCCAGGAAAACCATATTTCATAATCTGTTTTATATATGAATGTAATTAAATGAATTAGCAGTATATGCATAGAATACTAAAAGAATTATATCGTATATCAATTATAAATACATGATTGACCGCGATCATGTAATATTGAGGTTATGTATAATTTAAAATCAGCAGTAACTTACTTCAGACACTCTTGACGCTGTTGACAATTTTGAACCCATATCTGTTGCAGTTTCCGTGGGAACGTATGCAGTGGCTGCAGAAACTGTTCCAAACAAAGGCAAACCAGGCATCTTTCTAATGTTTATATTGTGAAAAATACTCGTTTCACTGTCATCTTTTTCTGCATCGAAATACCGTTTTTTTTCCGAATATTTACCAAAATACCAACCACCGAAACCTACGGTAGTTAGACTACTCAGGTTTAGAATAAATTTCAGGGAACCCTTCATTTTTCAATCATTAAAACTTTAATTGACAGAACTCAATAATTATACTCTCGTCCACGTTGTCTGCTATTGTTTTCTATCTGCTTATATTTGATACAGTATCACGTGACTCAGTTACGCAACGATAAACATGATTGTTCCAGATTGCCCCAGTGCCCAGGGTCCTAATCAAAAGGGGACCCCAAAACCAATGCCTCAAAAACGCAATGCTGTTATACATATGTTTACAATGTACGACTAAATTTTTGTATTTGAAAAACACAACGTAAGTAAATATTGACATCACTCAAGTAAAATTTTGTATATATACAGGGTGTCCCAAAAATGTTGGAGATCCTTGAAAGGGGATGGTTCGGGGAGCGATTTAAAACAACTTTTTCCTTAGTGAAAATGTTGTCCGAGACTTCAGAAATCCCCGACCAATCAGAGGGTGAGTATGCCGGTGGAGCGTTCCGGGTAGCGTAGGCTACGGTAGCCTCGGACAATATTTTCACTAAGGAATAAGTTGTTTCAAATCGTCCCCCGAACCACCCCTTCCAAGGACCTCCAACATTTTTGGACACCCTGTACATATGTTTAATATGTACCTGTTTCATCCTATGCTGCTGCAACCAATTTATCATATTCTCATGCTTCAATGTTATCTTGTTGCACTTATTTTATTATAGCGTTATATCTAGTTTATGAGACTACCAAAAAGTAATTTTTATATGGTCTTATATACTAACTATAGAGTAGTTTATCACATACCTTGTTCCTAATTTAATGTTTTGATATTAGAATTTTTTTTTATTCTAATATTGATATGAGCAGCCATCACCAGTGCCCTCGGCAATACTCGGCAGTGGAGATGGCGCTTTCACATTATTTGAAATAGTAATCCTCTACCTAGAAGACTTTTATTACATTCAATTTATTTACACGGATCGGACAAATATGGAAACAGGAACATAATTACAATTAAATTGTGCATATTTCAACAATTTTAAAGCTTTATTCTTTTTTTTTTGTTCAAAACATTACTATATGTTTAATTAAAACAGAATAAATACATACTTCAAGATAAATTACAATTCCATAAAAAATGACATAAAAGATTTATTTAAACTTTTTAACTTTTATTCGCTACAACCTTCATCCGAATCTTCAGCTAAAATTATATCATATCCAGGCAATGTCCTTGGATCAAAAGTCTTTTGGAAACATTTCTGAAATATTAAACGAGCCTTCTTGACTGGCGGCGTTGGTGAATCTGGTACTTCGTCTTCTAACACGTTAGATTTATCATTATTTTGTCCTTGTTGCCGGTCTATTTCATCATTACTAGATTTTCTTTTTGTTATCGAAGAAAATATAGAATTCACTAATTTCTTTCCATTTGTAGGTGTTTTACTGAGTCCGGCTACATTGTGACTAGATGATCCATCATTATGAGATTCTCTTTCAGTATTCTGTTTACCAAGCAAACAACTGTCTCCATTTTTACTTTGATCATTTCTTTGATCATTTCTCCGGCTTGTACCGGATACACTCGGTTGTACATCAACTTTTTCTTTACAAATTAAATTTGAATTCTTCTCAATTAAATTTGAATGGGTATTTTTAGCAGTAGCATTTTCAGACGTTTTATTCATATTGGTTGACCTATTTCCTATTCTGTTCGTAGATTTGGAAGATTTCCTAGGAACTCGCGTATTTCTCGTCCTTTGTTTTACAGATTTGTCCTGTTTACCAATTACCGTTGTTTCAGTTTGACTGTCTGCATCAGAATTTAATGTAGACAGTACTAAATTTGCTTCAAGAGATGGGTTTTTTAATGCAAATATGACTGGTCTGAAAATATCAGTGGACACTTATCTATACATAACTAAAGAAGTACTTGTGTTTCGTTTATTTTAGTCTTACCTTCCAGCTTCTACAAAATATATTCCAATTGGTATACCTATAACTTCTGCCAAAGACAAAATAGCTTTAAACTCCTTCATACAAAATGTAATTGACGTGTCTTTATTAATATTATATTGATCAAATTCGCCTTTGCCAAGCACGAGTTGTGTTCGAGTTGTATTCGATAAACCTGGAACAAATATAAAGTCACATTTAACAAGAAAAAGAATTAACAATACAACGTATCATTTACATGATATAAGTTACCTGAAGTTTCGTCTATATAATTTCTAAGTAACAGTTTTTGCGACGAAACTTCCATTGTTATCTCAATTAGAGTTTGATGAAAATTATGTACAGCATCTCCCAATACACGGGGTTGGGAAGAAAGTTGATTTGATGCAGAATTCTTATCATATGCAGTCTATAAAATATGGATAATAATAACAAATAAGAAGTAATCAGAAGCAATTACAAATATATGAAACATACTTGTAATACTTCACAATCCAATATGGGTAACAAATGTGTTTTGGTAATACTATTCTTATATTTTAAAATAAAGAAAATTTCAGATGCATCTGGTTGTAATCTGATGTGACATGTTTCTACCTGTTTATCTATTACATTTGGAGCTTTGAATACTGTCATAGCACTCTGTAAAATATAAACATTGAATCACTTATAATATTATATAAAAACATAATGATTCATTATTACCCTCATTGAAATTTTACATTTCAATGCGTCATTCTTTTGGAGATCACCGTATTCGTAACACGAAAAATAGTTTTGGAACATTGTAAAGTCAGCATACGCAGAATTTGCCATGTTGACAGTACGAAATGATATACCAGTTTCTTGCGGTTCTATGTACATTTCATCTCCAATTCTTGCTAATGCATGTATAGCTTTTGCTAAAACTATCACGAATATGTAGAAACAATTCTTATTATTATGTACAGTCTCTAAAATAGAGGTTAATAAAATATAACCTAAATAAAATAATACACAACGTACTTTTTACATTTACACCTGGTATAACACATTTCATGTTGAATTTGGCTTACTAAACTATGTATCGTTGACTAAACATCAAGTATTGTTTAATGTAAAAAGCAATTCGACAAGGTAGTCGAAAAAATTCATAATATTACGTGTGCTAAAAACAAGAACTGGTCATTCCTTTATGAAGAGCGAAGAGTTAATCATAACCGTTCATAATTTAGAAATGTACATGTGTAGATTTGAGACTCACAATTATGGAAAATTAGTATAAATGAATAG